ATCGAACAATATGCAGCTTCGGCTGTAAATTGCGAGCGAGATAAGAGCTCTGTTCACACATGCATGCTAGCGCATGCACCGTTATGTAGAAATCCCTGCAGCGATGAGATTAACGAGAAAAATTAAAATCATGCAATTGAGAAAATCACAGAAGTCCCATATATACATATATGTACAATCGTGTTTTATATCGCAAAAAAGAAAAAGAAAGATGTTTTTTACGTTCCTTCGAGGCAAACGCGTCATCACCCATTTTTATCTTTAGACAAATCTTCAGATTAGAATTAGTCACGGTGTGATTAATTTAAGATGCGCCTGGCAATTCACTTCTAATAATAACTAGCGTCATTTTTTACGCATGTTTCGTAAATTTGGAGATATTAGCTAATAATAAGTATCGATCAGTTAAAAGATCGCTATGATTAATCTTGATGCTGCTTTATAAAATTGTAAATTACTATTTTATTGTTTTTAGATATAACTTGATTATATTAATTTATGTGTGATCAAATATATATTAATTTTATCATCAAGATTCATCGATATTAATAACCGATATCTCGCCGGGTTCAGTTAGTGAAACAATTCTATTTCTTTTAAACTCTTATATTTTTCATTAAAATATTTATTTCACGTAATCTATTATAACACAAATAAAAAGTAATATAAATGTATAGAAAGAGAATAAAAAGATTTTTTTACTTTGCTTATTTTGTTCTATTCTTTCGGATTGCATTACTAATAAGACTATCCTATAGTCAAGTCATCAAACTGAATGATTGACATTGACTTTCGATACTTAAAAGTATGAGACTTGGTTGAAACCTCGCTAAGTTATTGTCGAATGTTAAATCTGAGTTATTGTTATTTTCTCGTTGATGAACATTGCAAATAGTTGTGTTTATGAACGTAATTTACGATGACACAACGTTAATTATTCCTCGATGTTGCGCTTTAAAAATCAATTGTAAAAAATGTAACTTCTATCAAGTCCTTTCAGAAAACACATAGAATAACGACTAAATGGAACGATGGAGAATATAGCTTTTATTTGCATTTATTCATTATGTCGATTTTTTGCTTTCTTTAAAGCTTAATTGTGCTTAATTATTTACGTCGATAATTGCTAAATGTTTCTCATAAAGTCAATTATATTCTTAAAAATAATTTATTATTATTTGATGATTTATTATCTAACAAAATTATTATTATTATCTTTTTCAACAGTTTCTTTTTATGTAACTCAAACATAAAAGCTTGTATGCTAAAAATTAAAGAGAATGTTTTTAATACACCAATTATATAATTGTTTAAAGATTCTAAATTTTCCTTTAAATATCCATAATTTAAAAAATTAAATTTTACTTTCTCTTATTTCCAGATAATTGTTTTGCACAAAATTTTGTCTACCACTCAAGCCAAGTTGTTTAAAAAAAATATAATTTCTGCTTCCTATGTTTCACAAAAGCGCCGCAACTACTACGTTGATGATTGCTTTTTCAAGAAGCTCATCGTGCTTCGCGGACAGTTTTCCGGAAGTATTCGCCTGACATTTCCGACAAGGCCAAACGTCTTACCCTTTAACGGTGGTTACTCTGTAGACGGTATCGAAGATGTCATCGCGAATCGAGCGGACGTCCTCGTCCTTCCTCTCTATCAGCTCGTGGAAGTGCAGCGTCCTCGCATTCGAGAAGTCCGGCTCCGCGTCCTGCGTTATCTCCATTTTCAAATGGGCCACGTACCCTCGTTTCGAAAACACGGAAATTGACTCTTCGAGGACGACAACTCGGCGACGTTTCCCACGGTCGGCGATCGAGCGACGAGCTTTTCGCGTATTAATGCACGCTCGCGCGAGAGAACTGCACGGAACAAACTTCCATCGTGCATGGTGCGAGTTTCTATTGTCTCCGAGACATATATGCGTGAAGGACGGCGCGCTTCGGGAGACGTTCCTAGGGCGCATGTGAGATTTATGGAAAAACAATACATAAACAGTATGCCCCGCGTTCTAATATATAAATAGAGTAACCAGATAAACCAGATGTATAACCGATAAATCGAACGATCGGCTGAATCTTTAATGTCGAAAATAAATTTATATATAAATATAAATACATTCGCAGTTGTAAGAAGTTATTATAGTTTTTTCGTAAATTTTCGTGAAAATTAATTAATTAATTAATCTAAGTTTTTCTTCAAGATTAAATTTTTCACAAATATTTTAAAAAAAGTCAGCTGCTATTTGCATAATTAAATCGAATGATCGGCTGAATCTTTAATGTCGAAAATAAATTTATATATAAATATATATACATTCGCAGTTGTAAGAAGTTATTATAATTTTTTCGTAAATTTTCGTGAAAATTAATTAATTAATTAATCTAAGTTTTTCTTCAAGATTAATTTTTTCACAAATATTTTAAAAAAAGTCAGCTGCTATTTGTATAATTAAATCGAACGATCGACTGAATCTTTAATGTCGAAAATAAATTTATATATAAATATATATACATTCGCAGTTGTAAGAAATTATTATAGGTTTTCCGTAAATTTTCGTAAAAATTAATTAATTAATTATCTAAGTTTTTCTTCAAGATTAATATTTTCACAAATTTTTTAAAAAAAGGGAACTGTTATTTGCATAATTAAATCGAACGATCGGCTGAATCTTTAATGTCGAAAATAAATTTATATATAAATATATATACATTCGCAGTTGTAAGAAATTACTATAATTTTTTCGTAAATTTTCGTGAAAATTAATTAATTAATTATCTAAGTTTCTCTTCAAGATTAATATTTTCACAAATTTTTTAAAAAAAGGCAGCTGCTATTTGCATAATTAAATCGAACGATCAGCTGAATCTTTAATGTCGAAAATAAATTTATATATAAATATATATATACATTCGCAGTTGTAAGAAATTACTATAATTTTTTCGTAAATTTTCGTGAAAATTAATTAATTAATTATCTAAGTTTTTCTTCAAGATTAATTTTTTCACAAATTTTTTTAAAAAAGGCACTATTTGCATAATGTTGTAAAAACAGAACATTCTCAGAGAGTTAAAAATAAAAAATTTTAACGAAAAATTACGTTTTTCGGAAGATGCGAAGAATTTGAAAGGCTTTGTTTTCCTTGCAAAAAATCTATTCTTATTATTAGCGGTACATCTTCGGCATAGAAAGCCGTTAGTTAGCGTATTTGAAAGGTGTTTTACACGACACTTTCACAAAATGTCGGTTAATGTGTGCGCATAATAATGCGATTGTTATGCGACCATGCTTCTTACGAGGGAGTAGATTTGAATGTTTCACTCGTCGCGCGTGCGACGTATGCGAACGTAACAAACGACATGTTCAACGTAAGAGAATCTAATGAATAGAAATGAAAGCGGATATACTTGAAATTTTTTTAAATATCCATACAAAGTGTTTGTATATATTATAATTTTGTAATTATATATTCCTTTCACCACTCGTGCGAAGTGTCTCACCACTAAAAAATATTTTAAATGCAGGCTTGATAAATGCTTGTCATATACATAATTATAATTTATATAATTTCATTAATTTTAATTTTCCTTATTTATAATAAAATTTTATTTCAACGATCAAGAGTTGTACTATACAAGGAAAAAACTATAATATAGAAAAATACTTTATTTAATATTGCTTTATCTATGCATATTATTTATCCTCTAATGACAAATAATAATATGAACAAACTCGTTATTATTGTGCAAATTTTTCCTCCTACACTTCTCTCTCAATTTCTAAAAATAACAATGTTTTATTCTCGTGAGACTCAACAATATTCGTAGCCGATACCTGCTTTTAGGAGAAAGTAAATATCGCGTGCTATTTAATGATATGCAATTTAATACATAATCTCTTTTCGCCTCGAGACAGCGATGCATTTTGACTTCATTTTCATGGTCCCACGTCCATGGTCCATTGTTGTTCATTGAAAAGCGACGATGTGCATTTTAATAGCTTCAACGCGGATTCTCTCGATTAGGTATTCCGATGTTATCGCTCTCCAGTTGACCTTAATTACCGTGCATCTTTAACCAATGTCTGGTTCATTGTTGTTCAAGACGCACCCTAATTCAATGTCTGCATTTTACATATTTCAGAATGATTAAACTCTAGCTATCTAAGTAGTATATTTGTGCTCAATTTCTATCGCAAAATCTTTCATTAAATTTTGATTACATTTTGCAGATTTTACAAAAAAACCACATTTATTCCAAATGCACAATCAACTTATTGCAATTTATTACTAATCAAATCTAGTGTCAAACTATTAACTGTTTATTGTTATTAATATTTTGTTTGCTTGAAAAAAATTCAATAAAATTTATAAATTAAAACCAAAGGTTTTTGAAATTAAACTTCTTGAAAATCTTAAACAAATTAAAAGATTTAATAAATTAATTTAAGATGTATTATATTCAGTAATTTTATCTGAATGTTATATTACAAATATATTATATATGATATATATTTTTTTCAATATATTCCTATTTATATGTATTTATTTTAATATATTCCTATTTCAAGGAATTTTATGGAAGCAATAATCTGTAAAAAATACAAGCTTGCATTTATCCGGCGAGTACAAATTTTCTCTAACCGTTTATCATTTCGGCCACCTGATCGCGCCACTGAATGCGACTTGTGTGCATTTAAAGTGTGATTTAAAGCCTCGAAATGACGCATGCTTTTTCGTAGAAGCAGTGATATCAGATGGAGGGATTTTTCGCGCATGCGTAGTCGCGAATGTGTCGCGTACATATGTTATCGAGATTTATGGTATCCTTTGGGCCCTCGTAAAAAAGAAAAAAATGTAGAAAATGTTTCCTAGAAAATTAATAAATTCTATGTATATGCATAATATTAATTTATGTTTAATATAAATTTCACGTATTTTGTATATTATTAATATGAGAAAAAATACGTTAAAAATCTGTGTAGCTTCAAAAGTACCTTACGTTGAATACGAGTCTGTCGAGGTTATAACTTGTTCACGTGGTAAGGTTAGGTTGGAAAAAATTCCTCCAGCTCATAGTTGATGCCGACTCGTTCGCCGAGATTCTTAAACAAGTATCCGTATCTTTGTACCTTTTACGCTGGCTAATTCCAATATCACGGATATGACAGAAGAAGATGCGGCGGATTTACAATTTCCAAAAGGTATATACATTTCCTGATCATATGCGAAGACTGACAGGCACGTCATGGGATTAACCTCACTCCCATGATATCTTTGTTGTGGCAATTTAATGAGGAAAATTAATCTTTTCAGCCTTCAAATTGATTGAATTTTTTATTATATACTCATATTGAGAGCGAAAATATCTTTAATTACTTATATTTTAAAGGTTTTGCACACGTGGATAGAGGAGAATACGGAGCAAATATATTGTAGAATTGTAATCATATTGAATGTGATTTTGACATTTGATAAAATATCAAATTTATAAAAAAAGAGATATATACATAAATATGTATAGAAAATTTAAATATATAAAATTTAAACAATCAAAGATATAAAATTTTATCAATATTTCATATCAATACTGATAAAACTTGTATCTAAAGTATTTAAAGTAATATGTATCCATTGTGCCCAAAATTTAATTTATATTTTTGAGAAAATAATCTAAAATTTAACGTTACATCAATATTAAGCTTTGTCACAAAATTTATGTACATTGATACAGTTTCGAATAGTTTCGTTTGACTAGAATTTCTATTGTTTGTACCAACACAATTTAAAAATACCTGCACATCCGAGTGGCCAGGGTTAAAGTAACGAATTTCCTCTTTCAGACTGTTCACTGACAATGAGTCCGAGAGACAGGTTTGAACATGACGTAGAACTTGAGGTGTCAGTCCTAAAGGATGAAATTCTTACTTCAGACCCGACGTGCCGCGTGTGCAGATCTACCCTTGTGGAGCCATATATTCGTTGCGCCACGTGTAACAATGTTGAAATATGTCCACCTTGCTTCTCCAAAGGCTGTGAGACCAACGAACATAAGAACGATCACGATTATGTGATTATAAAAAATGAATTTCCCCTCATCGATGGCAGTGGTTGGACCGCTAAGCAAGAGCTCGAATTGCTGGACATTGTGCAACAATGTGGTTTCGGAAATTGGATCGATGTAGGACGTAGGATACAGGGAAAGTCCCCCGAGCAATGTAAGATGCATTATCTACAGCACTACTTAGATAATCAGACTCTACCAGGCCTGCCAAGAATCAGAGATACCAGAGCTAGTTTATTCGCTTGCGAACCAATTCCCTACCTGTACAAGTTGCAGGATCTAGAAGAGCCGCCCAGATTCGCCTCGGATACGATTAATGCCAAACTGTTAGCCGGTTATAACGCGGCTAGATCCGATTTCGAGGTGAATTTCGACAACCATGCGGAATCGTTGATAGCTAATCTCGAGTTTGATGAGTTCCAACCGGCCGACAACGCGTATGCATTGGGGCAAGCTTTGCAAACGGCGATTGTGCAGGCGTACAATAATAGATTGAAGGAACGCGCGAGGAGACGGAGGATCGTACGCGATCATGGACTGATCATTTTTCGCAAGGCCATATCATGGACGCGGAGATACGAGAACACGATAACGCGATCGCTCGTGGAGAGATTGCTGATATTCGTGCAACTCGTGGACGGAATGGAGTTTGACTTTCTCATGGAGGGTCTGCATCGCGTTGGCGAGTTAAAGAATCGGATCAATAGACTTCTGGAATTTAGAGGAAACGGACTCACACACTTTCACAGCGTGTCTATGTTTCAGAAGTTGAGCAAGATAAGGCAGGATAACGAGCGGGAGAGAAAACAGTACATGAGTAATCCGGAGTACAGTTGGAGGAGCCTGTTGCCCGATGGTTTTGCTGGCTGTAATAGTCCGATTTCTGGAAATATGCAACGCAAGTCCGCTCCTCCTCTCACGATAAAAGGCTTACCGGGATACGAGAAGCTGAGTGTCGACGAGAGAGAGCTCTGCTCCATCGCGAGAGTGGTACCCGACAGTTATTTGGACTTTAAGCAACTTCTGATAACGGAAAACAAGAAAAACGGCCATCTCAGATTGGCGCAGGCCCGTATTCTCCTGAAAATCGACGTGAACAAAACGCGAAAAATATATGATTTTTTGGTAGAAAATGGATACATCAATAAGCCGGCTCAATGATATTTATTTTTGCAAAGTGATATGCAAAAAATAGCACGCATGCAGATATTGTGATATTATAAATTAAGTCAAACGTGTCATTGTTTTAAGAAAAATTTTGCATTTTAGGAAAAATAATTTTTCTAGAGAATGTCCAAGTTTTATACATATATTTATTTTAATATTTTCTATTTTCTTTAAAAGAGATTGGAATTATATAATCATTATTATTTTAGATATTACAAAAATTAATTAGTAATCTACATTATTTTACAAGCAACAGTAGATTGCAATAATAGAATTAAAATATTTCTTTTTAAAAATCTTGACTAAAATTTGTAAATATTAGTAGATCGTAATAAGTAAATATTTATAAGGGCTTTTTAATTATATATGTTTAATTAGCAAAAATGCAATTCCATAAGACATTTATTCATATTTTATCTTTTTCATATCTATTTAATTTTTTTATCAGAAAATAAAACATTTTCAGCAATGCGAGATAGTTTAATATCATTACAAATATTTTTTTGTATCTTCTGTACCATTAAATTATTAATAATTGCTAATAAGCTTCTGAATTTGGACAACTTTGGGAAAGAAATGGCGAATCATCACACATCAATTTTCTTATATGATGAAATTTTATTTATTAAACGCTAAGATGACAAATTCCTTCGCAGAATTCGAAAATGCGGAGACGTTATTGATATCGGAAGTTTATATGCTATTAGAGCACAGAAAAGCTCAAAATGAATCTGCGGAAGAAGAGCAAGAATTTTCTGAAGTTTTCATGAAGAGCTTAACATACACTAATCGATTCGGAAAATTGAAAAATAAGGAGACAATCGCAGCCGTTAGAAGGTAAGATATATATAAATTATGATAAATATATATAAATTAATGTATAAAAAAACATTTCAATAATATATATATATATATATATATATATATATATATATATATTTACAATTTTAGTCAAAATTTTTAAAAAGAAATTTTAATTCTATTATTGCAATCTACTATTGCTTAAAAAATAACGTAGATTACTAATTAATTTTTGTAATATATATATATATATAATATATATATAACAAAATGTGAATGTGATGCAATTAATATAACACGAAATATTTTTTACGTTATTACAGTTTGTTGATGCAGAAGAAGCTACATAAATTCGAGATTGCCTCGTTAGCTAACTTATGTCCCGAAACTCCGGAGGAGGCAAAAGCTCTTATTCCTAGTCTCGAAGGACGTCTAGAAGATGAAGAACTCAGAACAATACTTGATGATATACAAACAAAAAGATCTCTACAGTATTAAAAAATAAATTTCTTATGTGATTTTTTACTTTTTTCTTCGATATTTTTATCAGAAATATAAATGAATATGATTCAAGTTATAGTTTTTATAAAAACGCGATACAAAAAATCTCCCTTTAAAACATGAAGTTTTAATGAAAATGTAATATGTTAATTTATTCATATATTGTTGTCGGTGCTCTCTCTGGCATAAGATTTCATTAGATATTACTTTAACGAGAATTTTATTCTATCGACATTATAATGAAACTTTACTGTTATAATTTTGCGACTTCCAATTATTTTGACCACTAATTAAATTATGGTTATCGATTCACATATCATACCGTTAATATTAATTAATAAGACATTTACTATCACTTTTTCTTCCTCTCTCTTGATGGACTTCATAAAAATTTTAAAAAATTTTTTTCATTATCAATGTATAATTATGCTACAAGCTCATCATCTTTTAAGAATTTGTTATTTTCTTGTATTAATATTAATATAATATATTGAAATTTTTGTAGTTTTCTCACGCAAATTTTCATTGATAATTATTTTTACAGAATAAATTTATTAAAAACTCCAAACCTCCCCGCATCATTTTTGTTATTATTTTATTTACAAAAATACTGTTAGAAATATACTCGTGCGGTCAGAGAAATCGTATCCAGTTTCCCAATGCCGGCAATTTGTGACAACTCGCGAAAGAAGAGGATGCTAATCGCACCGACGACAACCGCATATTACCAGTAAGATAATTATGGCTTGGCATGAAGCAGTGGTGGGCTCTCATCTTGCAATATTCTTGCGATAACCGGCAGCAAAGTAACTTGCTCTTTTTAGCAAGATTTTGCTGCTCTTTTTAGTAAAGTCAAGCTCGCGATAAGGATCGATGTCGTTCTACCTATCATTTATCACTAATGGGCACTCTTCACTATGCTCTTTGCATTAAAATAAATCTTCGTGATCTTTTAATGGTTTTCCTTCCTACCGATTTTCTATTTCCGCGGAAAATATTTACATTCATATTATTATAAAATATATCTAAGATAAAAAAATATAATCTTTTCATTTCTAGTCTGAAGATGTAAAAGACAACAAAGAGCTCTTTTTTTACCTTTTATTTGCTATCTTCCGTATTTGAATTTTATTCTATAAAAAAGTCGCGCATAACATGAATTTTTCGATTTCAATATTAAATTACAAAAAGCCGAAAAGCAAATATTTCATGTATACAAAATAGTTTTCTTCAAAAATATACATTTTATTAAATTTGCAACGTGTCACTTGCATAAAGAATGTATGTATGTATATATATATATATATATATATATATATATATATATATTGATATTGATATTGATATTGATGTAAATATAAAAAAGATAATTTAATATTTTTAATCAAATTTAATAATTTTAATTAATAATATTTAATTAATTAATAACAAATTTAATTAAACAGACAAAAGTATTTTATGATGGGAGCTGAAATGTTGCTAAAAATACATTTCTCTTTCAAAAATCCAGCAAGAAATCTATTCTCTATAATTAATTTAGTATACAATTATTCTCGCTGTGGGATATCACCTAGTTACTTCGACGTAACTGGAATGAAAAGATGCAATAATTTCATGATTAGTAACACTTCGTTTTATTCAGCCTCTAACGGCCATTAAATGACTGTTATTAAGACTATTTTATGAATCGTTCGTTCTTGTTTACGCGAGTTTCCCCAAGTTGAACGTAACGCGCGATATCTCGCGATAGGGGTTTACATACCGGTCATGTAATGACACTTGCATTAGACGAATGGCGAGAAGAGAGCGGCGCCGTCATTGCTGGCGACATGGAGTAATCGGCAACGGCACCGCTCCCACGAAGAGGCCTCTTAAGATAATTACGACCCTTAATCGCTCGTAAACTTGGAGAAAATGCACGCGACTGGTAGTCGATAGCGGAATCGAAACGATTCATGGAAGAGCGTTATCTAAATCGGCGAGACCGATCAATCGATCGTACCTCGAAATAGCATCCATTCGCATTATCGAAAGAAGATTTTATTGATTTAATAATTTTAGCTTTTTAAGAATTAATTCTAAGCCTGCTTCTTTTATAACTATTATTTTACATGATTTCAAGTGCAAAAATAAATATAAATAAAAAATAAGATGTTGACTCTTTTATATATTTTTCTTGGAAATCTCTACAAATGTGTTAATTATAAGAGAATTATTTTATAAAATTTCTAAAAGGAGAGAATTCTAACTTTAGACTTGTTAAGATTGATGTTTCCAATCTACGTTTAACCAAAGCGTTAATTACTTTCGATTTAATAATTTTAGCTTTTCACGAATTAATTCAAAGTTTGCTTCTTTTATAACTATTATTATATATTATTTCAAGTCCAAAAATATGTAAATAACAAATAAGATGTTGACTCTTCTTTATATATTTTTCTTGGGAATCTCTACTAATGTGTTAATTATAAGAGAATTATTTTATAAAATTTCTAAAAGGAGAGAACTCTAACTTTAGACTTGTTAAGATTGATATTTTCAATCTACGTTTTATCAAAGCGTTAATTATTTTCGATTTAATAATTTTAGTTTTTCACGAATTAATTCAAAGTTTGCGTCTTTTATAATTATTATTTTACAAAATTTCAAGTGTAAAAATATATAAATGAGAAATAAGATGTTGACTCTTCTACATTGTTCTTGGAAGTCTGTACTAATGTGTTAATTATGAAAGAATTATTTTATTATATTGTAAAATTTCTAAAAGGAGAGAGTTCTAACTTTAGACTTGTTAAAATTAATGTTTTCAATCTACTTTCAATCTACTTATTACTTAAAATTTTTAAAAGGAGAGAAATCTAACTTTAGATTTATTAAAATAAATGTTTTCAATCTATTTTCAATCTACTATTTGTTAAAACTGATGTTTTGAATCTATTACGTTTAACCAAAATGCTAATTATTTTCTATTTTCTATTCGAATCAAGACGCACATCAATCACATACACAGAAATACTTGTAAATTGATGCGTAGGCAGGAGACTCGTTATTTTCACGCTTGTTATTTTCCTAATACGGCATTATTTCCTTGGAATTGCGTGGCAAATATAAACTGCAGGACAAGCATGCTGTAAAGGACGGAATAGAGCCAGTGAAACGCGCAACAAGTCTATATTCGCGCGGTGAGTCTGGCAGCCAATCGATGAAATCAATTTGCATAATGTATACACGCGAACGTGTATGCTTGACAATGCCTCGATGTCGTAGAGTTGCCTTTATATGACGATAGCGGAATAACATTGACGCGCGCGCGTTCGCTACGTCAATAATATCGTGGAGACAAAACTCATGAAAACAAAATTGGAGTGTATCTTAAATACATACATTGAGGGAAAAATTGTTTTGAATCAAATAAATTTGTTTTCTTGAAATTTTTACTCTAAATGGAAGGAATTGTTTATTTCATTTAAGTAAAAGCATTTAATTTTAATGAAATATGCATGTTATATTAAGTACATTATTTTCATTTATATATTTTTTATATTTAAATAATATTTTTGTAAAATATATATTATAATTTATTAAATCAAATATATTATTTTTTAAAATTAAAAAATTTAAAATTTTTGGGAATAAAAAATGCATTTTAATAAATATTTTGTAAAATATAAAAATAATTAATTAAAAATTATATTTTTTTAAGCATATATATATTTTTAAATATATGTGAATAAATACTTAACTTAAGCAAACAGACGTTTTGAATTCAAGTAAATACGTGATTAGTACCAACCGAATAAATAGCTTTCTTGAGTTAACTAAAATTTTTTTATTTCAAGATAATTTTTTCCTCAATGTACACGGGATATGTGCAGCGAATTGATGTATATGATATCATTGATGATAATTAGAAAAATTTTTTTTATTATTTTATTTTAATAAAATTATATATTTAATTTAAAACGTGTATTTTCAGATGGAAATATCAATATTATTTTGAATGAGAACGCAAAATCGTATTTAAGGGACCGATATTGTATGTACATGTGCGCGTAAAATGATTTACGATTTTGCTTACTCGTAAAACAATTCAGTATTTCAAACTTTAACGAGCTCGCGCTTTTAAGCGAGTTTACAGTTTCTCCAAGTACTAAATGATTGTCAAACTAATGATGCTGCAGGACACAGTTCTGTTGTTTTAATGTACCTTTAAACGAGGTTTAAACTGTCGTGTTCAACGTAACAGCGATTAATACCATGGTTAATGTATCACACGTAACTATGTAACTACGACCCATAGAACAATATACTGTCTAACAATGTACATTGTTACAATGATATATTGTGCTTCGTATAAATATGATTTTTCCCGCAATGTGTCTTAGATCGCTGAAAAATAAACCGGAGATTGAATTTTATTTGCATGAGCCATTTGAAAGAGAGGATAAAAGTATCAGAATTAAATTTAAAGAACAAGAAATTTTATTTAAAAATAATATTTTTATTTGATTTTTACTTAAAAAAATATTTAAATATTTTATGTATTAGGTATACAAAAATATTTCCTTCTTAAATTAAAATTTAAGAGAGAAAATTGCAGAAAATAATTAGCGCAAATTTATTATTCTACTAAATAATCATGAATTATTATAATTCATCTCTTTAAGCTTTAAAATAAATTTAAAACGGGATATTTTAGTTAAAATATAATATTTAAATAATATAATATTAAAATAATATAAAATAAAATAATATAAAATAATATAAATTAAAATAATATAAAATAATATAATATTTGTATATATCTCTCTTTTATATAGCTTCTAATATATTTTCAATTTAAATGAGAAAATATTACAAAAAATAACCGCATAAATTTATTATTTTATTAAATAATTATAAATCTTATAAGTTTATCTCCCTTCAAACTCTAGGTAAATTTAAAGCGGAGTATTTTAATTAAAATTAATATTTATCTCTATATATAGCTTTTAAGTGCGAAAGTAGTTATGTTAAAGTTTGAAGAAAGATAAACTTATAAAACTATTTCATAGAATAAATTTATGCGTCAATTATTTTCTATATTTTCTCCCTTAAATTTTTCAAGATACTATACTCTCGCACTTAAAAGCTATATATAGAGATCTAAATATTATTTTGTTATTATATTAGAGTTTAAGAAATTGTTTGTATTATTAGAGTTTGAGAAATTATTGTAATAATTCGTGATTATTTAGTAAAATAATAAACTTATGCGGTCCGATTATTTTGTGTAATATTTTCTCTCTTAATATTTCGAAAACTTTCATATACTTTTAAAAACTGTATAAGAGCTCTAAATATTATTTTTAATTAAATTAAAATCCTCGCTTTGAATTTATATTAAAGTTTGAAGAAAGATAAACTTATAAAACTATTTCATAGAATAAATTTATGCGTCAATTATTTTCTATATTTTCTCCCTTAAATTTTTCAAGATACTATAGATACTCTCGCACTTAAAAAAAAAGCTATATATAGAGATCTAAACATTATTTTTAATTAAAACACCCCGCTTTAAATTTACTGGCGCTCCTCCATCGACCTCCACGATGCACGGTCAACGATCGAGTGAGGGCCGGAGCCTCGATGACCGGGCGCCGCGGTCGGTTCGGCCCGCGGCGGCCGAGCTCGGCCGAGCGCGGCCGAAGATTGCCGAGCGCGAGCGGGGCGCCACAGTGCGGCGGAGCCGCTCCGAAGCTATATTCAGTGTAATCTGAACCGGCGTGCGAGGCACCCGTCGTCGCGTCCTGCTCCGCGAGCGCGCCTCTACCGCGCATCGTCGTCGACGATCTTCGTCGTCTCTCGCGATACGAACGTTTTCTTTCAACGGGAAACGTAAAACTGTGGTGCGAAAATTGCGAATCTTTCGAACGCGAGAGAGATCAATGCTTCTCTTGTCTCGCTCCCTCCATCTTCCTCCTCGATTTTGAAAACCGCGCGTGTTTGAAACTCCGCCAAGTTGAAGTTGCAGAGAAAAGTGAACGCTTGAACGACGAACATCGAGGTATCCTCCCCGTCTTTTCTCTCGTATTATTTATCGCTGTGTATTACTTCCCCTTTCTCTCTCTCTCTTCTTGTCCCTCGCGCTCTACTCGTATCTCTTCCTCGCCTTCTCCGCGTCTTTCTCGCCCTTTCTTCCCCTCTCGTTCGCGCCGACGTCTCGCGGGGTCAGTGGCTGCTCGATCGGATCCTGAAGCAGGAACATACCGGTGGAAGAGAAGGACAACCATCTCCCTCCCTCCTCCTCCCCCTCGGAGAAAGAGAGATTGCGACTGTTGCAACGATCGCGAGCGCGCGCGCGCGCGCGCGCGCATCTCTGCTCCTCCTCGGGGGATCGTTTTCGAAGCGCTTCGTTTTTCGCGCCACGAGACCAAGTATCGAGATCGATATCCGACACCGAGTTACATTGATCGAAGCGCGTCTTCGATTGCGGAAAACTCGCGCGTTCCTTATTGCTCGCTTTTTTTTTCTAGGATCCTTCCTCGCGTCGTTCTTCGTCTTCTTCTTGTGCTCCCCCTCCCCCTCTTTGTATCTCTCTCTCTCTCTCTCACACGTTCGCACGCGTGCACCCCCCGGTGCGCGCGCGCGCGCGCTCTCCCCCCCCCTCTCTCTCTCTCTCACTGTCTCTATCTCTGTCTGTCTCTCTCGGCGGTCGCAGCTGGCTGTCTCGCTCGCTCGCTCGCTGTTTTCTCGCGAAGGAGAATAGGAAAAAGAGGAGAATCGGCGCGAGTGAGAGAAAGACGCGAGCGTCGCCTGTGAAGAAGCTCGAACTAGTCGGTCGCGAGTTTGTGTTTTTGTTTATGCGGAACGGACTCTTGCACCGGTAACTACGCACTGGACACGACACCGCGTCGCTACGTCGAAGGAAGTGCGAGTGGATGCGCCTCGGAAGGACGATTCGTCGCTGGAGGAGGCGTTCGAGAAAGGTGAGTTCCCCTTTTTCTCTCTGTCTTCCTTTTTCTTTCTCCCAGCGTCCAATTTATTCCCGCTGAAATTGAAGGTAAAGAATCCCCGATAAGAGAGAGATAAGCGAAGCTGGGTCGAAAGAGAGAGGAAGAGCAAGAATCCAACTGATATGTGAAATGTGTGTCATTTCCAAGCTGGCGAAAGTAATCATTTTTGGAGTAATTTGACGACGAAAATGACTCGAATAAATTCGAAATAGTATTCGTGCGTGAAGAATAAATGACTGAATTTTTTCCGTACACTGGATGCATTAACGTGCGTCAGGCAATACGCATACGCGTTAAAAAATCGTTATTTGTTATTCATGAATACATTTCGTGCCTAACACCCGCCGGAGGCGGGAATTTGATTCATTGCGGCGATCAGTATTGTCGACTTGAGCACACAACATTGTCGCGTACATTTGTCACGCAAATGTTGAGAACAGAATGGCTTTGCCACTATTGTCACTATTACATTCAGTGTAACGCATTATGCTTTAAGTTACATTCACATGTTCGTGCATTTCTTCGCGACTTGAGGCAAGGTTTTTCACTTTCTCCACATTTTTCATCGGCAATCATAGAGATTCTTGTGCGTTTCAGTATTTTCGAAAATCGATTTCAATCATTACGAAATTGTTACAGTCATTCAGCGACAATGTTTATGTCCAAATTTAATGATTGGATTTCATTCTAGATTGAGAAAGAAAATTTACCAGACTAAATATTTTCAACTAATTATTATCTTGTTAATTGAAATATTTAAGTATTAAATAAATGTCAAGTTAAATTTAATGTCATGTTTAATTTAAATAATCAATTTAAATAATTAAATTATTGTCGTATTTAATTTAAATATTTCAATAAAAAAATAATTTATGGAAAATATAATAATTAAATAATTAAAAAGAATATAATAATAATTAAAAATAATAATAATTAAATAATTAAAAATAAAATAATTAAAAAAAGAATTAGTTGAAAATATTTAGTCAAATTTTACAATTTTTTTTCATATACTATATGTATATATAATATATTTTTTATTAGAATACGCGTGTTTTTTGTATATTATTTTGTATATTATTTGTTGCGAGCTTAAGTATTAGTTCTTTAACTTGGATTCTTTAGCATTATAACCTGAACAATGTATGTAAAATTGTATGCATTTCCGTTTTCACATAAAAGCCGACTGTTGATTTATGCAAGGTTAACTCGCGTTGAAACGAACACGTGCGTTTACGCTTATTGCATAACAATATCTAGTAGGTTGCTAAAAGGCGCGCGTTGCTTGGTCGTTTCTCGATTATGAATGAACTTGCGTACATCGGAAGTAGATTTAATTACGAGCGCATTAGATAGAATTTATCGCGCTGGCATTTTGCCGCAACATTTCTGCGAAATGGGCGACTCGCTTTGTAAAGTGAACGAGAATGGTGAATAGAGGAGCATTAATAAGTGAATAAAACGACTATTAAGGGCATACGATGCATCGTGCATTAATAAAATAATAGCAGTGGATAAATTAATAGATACGAGAGACGATCTTTCTCCTCTTTTCCCCTATATATCGCAATTAACTCTAAATATTGATAAATGTTTGAATGTAGTTTGTTTTCAGAGAATTCGATATGCTCTGTTAATGCACTTTAGTAGTTATATACGAATTTTGTTTGCTTCACATATATCAAATAGAACAATAAATCTGTCTAATAGGTACATTAATATCCATCGTTATGAAAGTAACTTTAACAGAGAGTATCTTTAATAGAATATAATTTCAAAATGTCTTAGATCAAGAGAAAGTTATATGCATTTGAGAAAAATTTTTTCTTCCTATTTAATATATTAATTAAACCTCCAATTATTTCTCGAGATTTAATTCATTAAATAAATCTCAAATTATATTATATATTTTATAAAAATTTTTTTTAAAGAGCAAAATCGCGAAATTTGAAGTAAATTAATATCCATTGTTATATGTATATAGAAAGTATCTTTAATAGAATATCTTAATAGAGTATCTTTAATAGAGTATCTTTAAAAGAATATAATTTTAAAAATGTCTTAGATCAAGAGAAAGTTACATGCATTTGAGAAAAATTTTTTCTCCCTATTTAATATATTAATTAAATAAAGTTAATTAAATAAAAGTAAATTAATATCCATCGTATATGTATATAAAAAATATTTTTAATAGAATATCTTAATAGAATATCTTTAATAGAATATAATTTTAAAAATGTCTTAGATCAAGAGAAAGTTACATGCATTTGAGAAAAGCTTTTTCTCTCTTTTTAATATATTAATTAAACCAATTATTTCTCGAGATTTAATTCATTAAATAAATCTCAAGTTACATTATATATTTAACAAGATTTTTTTTAAGAGAGCAAAATTGCGAAAATTTCAAGCTAATCGAATGATTAATTATTTTTCCGACTTAAAAAGCTTTATTTGTCAACTCGTGGATTCTCGTTATTAATAAATTTTTGATTAATTAAAGCGAATACTTTTTAGTAGAAGCGCTGCACTTTTTGCGTAGAAATAATATAATTGAATCTGAAAATTCATGACGAGGATCGCACGCGTTCGTTGATTCCCATTTTTCGGGACGCTTCGTGTATTAGTATAAGCCATCGTTATTCAACGATGGACTCGACGTAATGGCGTAGGTGATAAATTAGATGACTGTAATGCAAATTGCGCCAGGCGGTTTTCTATGAATGAACGCTCACGTCTTGCACGTTGAGCTTTAATTTACTCGCGAGCGAATTTACTTGCGAAAGATAAGGAGCGGAGGAGGGGAGGAGCGCATTATGACGATTGCATCTAGCGAAGGAGATGATGTGTGTGCCTGTGTGTATGTGGGAGGTCACAATATTTTCCCTACGTTATATGAATGTCCGTCGTTTATCGAACGACCTTTGTTATTGCAAAAGTCGACAATGGGCGCACATAGTGTACAATATATGAGCGCAGAGTTGCCATCCTTTTTCATTAGATCGTTATATATTTTGAAATATTTTATTGTATCTCGACCAAGTTTCGCCTCCATTTCATTTACAATGGAAGCGATGACAATTATATTTTGCGCTCATTTTTCAAGGCAAATAAATGTATGAAAACCTCTATTTTTCTTTTTTTTTTTGTTATTTTTAAAAAGATTTCCAACCATATGTTATCCCGAACAAACATGCTCTGCGTGAATCGTTAATAGTCCGCGAGTCTGGTGTGTAAATTCTGTCGGTTTCAAATGTAAATTCGTAGTTTATTCGTTTCCGCAAGTCGTACGATTCGTTGGGCTTTCGCTTTTATCGCGAAAAAACAAACGCGAGAAGACGGCCTCTTATCTCGCCGCTCGGAAGCTTGTGGCTTGTTCTCATAAGAATGAAAAACAACTTTGAAGTTTTTCATCAGCTGTGGAAGAGACGCCCGTCATTGATCATTTTATTCTAATTCCCGATTGCATGTTTCTCCTTCTATCGAGATTCCTAAAATTGTATAAAATTATTATTTATAATAAGTACTTCCCCCTCTATCAATTGCGATGATTTCTTTTATTTACCTTTACCTTTGAAACGATGAAAATCGCATTATGAATGTTTTGTCGCGAATTAAGACCGAATAATTTATTTGCCAATTTTAACGTTATTTCTCTCGATGAATTGCATTAATTATGAATTAGACACATTTTATCATAAAGCATGACGGAATTAATATTGGAATTAATTTTTATTATATATGTAGATATTTAGTTTTACTTATTTTAATTTTAATAATTCCTGGCTTTAATTATTTTAACGGAAAATTATGTCAATGTTTTATACGTGTTAATTTAAAAGTATTCATGTGATTAACGAGAAATTAAAACTGCTATTATAGACATTTATTTCTTATCGAGCTGTTATTTTTTGCGTTTACATTTTCTATCAACAGAAAATTTTCTCCTGTATTTTATCAATACCTGCATCGATTTAATTTCAGAAGTGATCCAATTTATATTGTGGTTTTTTGCGAACGAACCAAACATTCATGTCTCTGACATGACGTGAAGGGATTATGTTTGCTGCTACATTTCTGCTGGAAATTTCTAACGAAAATACATCTCTCTCGAAGGATTGAGAAAGGTACATATGCTATTCGTCACGTTATGGGGCTTTTATATACTCGAAAATATTTTTCTCGCTGTATTTATTTTTTAAAAATGTATATGAGATTTTTTTATCCTACCTAGATTTATATTTTTTTACGATAGAATACTATTTAATTATACTAGTATATTTTATTTATCTAATTAATATTTTTAAATTATATTTGTATGTTTTATTTAATTATATTTATATTTGTATTTTATTGAAATATTAAGAAAATATACTTTTGTTTATTTTTTCTTTCAAGAAGGATAAGAATCTAATACATATCAACGCGTGAAACATTTTTTTTAAATAGTGAAGAGTAACAAAATTAATTCAAAAGTTGTACATATCGAGAAATATTAAAATTTATGAAAAAATTTAATACATTATCTTTTTAAAAATGTCTGCCGTTTAATTTTAATTTATCAGTTTTAAAATCGAAATATTAGATTTAGCTGATACTACTTAACATATTACATATTTACATGATTCATACTCTTAAGTAACAATAAATATATTAGCATGAGCAATTTTCTTGCTTCTCGATGTCACGAAATAATCGAAGCGACTTGCATGTGAATAAGTCGTAAGAATGAAAACTTGGAGAACCTTTTCTAGTAACTTAATAATATAATTTAACGCCTTGTTGTTCATACTGAGAATTGTTTATTATAAAACAATGGGTACATAACGAGAAATATTAAAATTTATGAAAAAATTTAATATATTATCTTTTTAAAAAAAGTCTGCCGTTTAATTTTAATTTATCAGTTTTAAAATCGAAATATTGGATTTAGCTGGTACTACTTAGCATATTACATATTTACAAGATTCATACTC